GGGCTGGAGGAGGAGGACGACGACATGGACGAGGTGAGCCTGCTGTCCGAGCTGGTGGAGGCGGCCTCCTTCCTGCAGGTCACGTCCCTGCTGCAGCTGCTGCTGTCCCAGGTGCGGCTCAGCAACTGCCTGGAGCTGTACCGCCTGGCGCAGGTGTACGGGCTGCCCGACCTGCAGGAGGCCTGCCTGCGCTTCATGGCCGTGCACTTCCACGAGGTGCTGTGCAAGCCCCAGTTCCACCTCCTGGGCTCTTCTCCTCAGGCCCCCGGGGATGTCAGCCTCAAGCAGAGCCTGAGAGAGGCCCGGATGACAGGCACTCCTGTCCTCGTGGCGCTGGGGGATTTCTTGGGGGGACCCCTGGCCCCTCACCCCTACCAAGGGGAGCCCCCGTCCATGCTCAGGTATGAGGAGATGACTGAGCGCTGGTTCCCGCTGGCCAACAACCTTCCCCCCGACCTGGTGAATGTCAGGGGGTACGGGTCCGCCATCCTGGACAACTACCTCTTCATAGTGGGCGGGTACCGCATCACCAGCCAGGAGATCTCCGCGGCGCATTCCTACAACCCCAGCACCAACGAGTGGCTCCAGGTGGCCTCCATGAACCAGAAGAGGTAAGCGCCAGCCGCGCTGCTGCTTTCCCGTGCACTCACCTGCGCATGAATCCGTCCCCCTAATGTTTACCGAGCAGCCCCAGGAGGTTGCGCTGAGATGGGAATGCCGTCCCTGGGAGCGGGAGCGTCGCTGGCCTTGACTCTGGCAAAGTTCCCGATGAACTAAGAACTTGCAAGGAGGAGGAGGAGGCCCCAGTGAGGTCAGCTAACTGAGTAGTTTCCTTGCAGGTACTGCCCTTCAGACAAACTGCCTTTTCTTTCTTCCTTTTTTCCCCTGTCTATCTCAGTGGAAGAAAGATGTCTGTGGTTTCCTAGAAGGATACTTTCAAAGAAAACTTTTCATTTTGCTTTTGTTTTTACCAATTTTATTTTTTAGGAACTAATCCTGTTTATAATGACACACGAGGCAGTCAGCTGTAACACTGAATTTCGAGGATCTTTGTTAATGACTTTGAAGCCTTTCACACTGGAGCGCCAGCTGTGATCAGAAAATAATCACTGGGATTCTGTTAATCTTAGCTTTCACCTTTCTTCCTCTTCTTATTTTTTAATCTTCTCTTTGCATCTCACTTTCTCCCGGTCTTCATCATGGACCCAAAACCTTGCATTGGTCACCTGCAGAATCAGGATGTTTCCATCCACCCCAGCCTTCTCCCTTCCCATCCTGCAAATCCTTCCCAACATGCACTTGGGTGACTCGAAGAAAGGAAAAGAAAAGGAGACTGGGGGCAGGGGGAGGGAACAGAGCCAGGAAAGGACCGGGCAAAGAGCATCACAGGAAGAAGTGGTAGGACAAAAAGGTGGGAGGGCCCAGGATGGCCCAGAGCCATTCAGAAGGAAGGACAGGAACACCCTGTCTTCTGGTCCCTTGTATCCATCTCAAGCTCCATCATGGTTCCTGCCCTGAAGTGTGGAGTGAGGAGTCGGGGACTCACAGCCAGGCCAAGAGTCTTAACCGGAATGGGAAAGTCATTATACATATTTACTTGATTTAAGTCCCCCCCCCACCCCCAGGCTAGGGGCATACATTGACTTTATTTCTATTATAATATAAAATTAAATTTGAAAAGTGTTCTTTTTCTCTGGTGATAAAAAATGTATAGTTATTCTGGAAAACTGGAAAACAGTGAAGCAGCAGGAAGACCGTCATGCCTTCTCCCCACTTCCTGGAGGAGATAACCATCCGCATTTTCTTCAACCATTGGCGTATTTTCTTCCAGCCCCTCTTTGGTGCATCATAAATAATTGGGATGATAGTGTGTTTAAAACTTGACATCAGAGAGTTATTTTTAAACACATTCTAAGAACTTTCGTTGAAGCAACGAACGTGCAGTGGTGATGGGCGGTGCTCAGATTACTGGTGGAGGCCCAGGAGGGCTGTCTGTCACCTTTACACACATGTCTGCTACTGTGTCATTTAGTGCTCAGCCCCCACCCCTAGCTCCACAACTCCAACACCGCACCTCACAGGATTCTCTTCTTTCTCCACAAATCGTTGGTAGTCCTGAATGTACTTCCTGTCCTTTTTGGGGAAAAAAAAGTATTCAAGTAATGCATGAATACATGCTTAGAAAAATTGCAAATGACATGAAAAACCATGGGGTAAAAAATGTGTAGTTATTGACATGTTATATTTGTACAGGTATATCTAAACATTTATTTATAAATTAATAAATGTGTATTTATAGTATTAGTATGTTGATAGTGGTTAATAGGGAAAGATATATATATGTATGCATGTACATATAGGGCTATATATGCATCTTATATATATTTTTACTCTGAAATTGATTAATTTATGCTGATTATTATGGCCCTTGACATTTCTACTCTAGAAGTTTTTTCTTTAAAAAAAATTTTTTTTTTGGGTGACAGGAAGGTAATTAGGTTAATTAATTAATTAATTTTTAGAGCAGGTACTAGGGATTGAACCCAGGACCCCATGCATGCCAAGCATGTGTTCTACCACTTGAGCTATATCCTCCCCCTCTGAAAGTTTTTTCTTTATCAGCAAATGTAGATCCACCTCACTCTTGTTAATGGCTGTATAGTATTCCAGCTTGTAGGTACTGTAATTAGCCCCTCCCTTATTCCTGAGCATTTAGGTGGCTTCCATTTGCCATTATAAACAATGCCATGTTGAACATCTTGGTATATGTGTGCCTATCATAGTAGGCATATGTGAGTTAGTTCTATATGGCAAATACTGGGAATCCCTGGATAGATGGGGCAAAGTGTACGTGCATTTAAAATTTTGGTAGCTCCTGCCAAGTTGCCCATCAGAAAATTGTTCTAATTTTTCTCTGTCAACAGTGTTTGAGCTTGTTGGTTCCCTGTACTCTTGTGAAGACGTAATCATCATTTTTTATTTTTACCAGTCTAATGGGCAGAAACACTGGTGTAGATATCTCTGCTTGGAAGAGGAATTGTTCATTTCATATGTCTGTTGGCCATTTGTATATCTTTTATATATGGCCTTTAGTTTTTAAAAAATTGGTTTTTTGGTATTCATTGTAAAAATTCTCTTCATGCATATAGATACTGATCCCTTATTTCTTAGGTAATCCTGCCTGTGTTTTTCCTTTGCCCTTATTTTATCTAAGGGTCAGAAGTGAAATGCTGGAAGCCACCAGGCAGGTAGGATCAGTGAGTGGAGGGGGTGGGTGAGAGTTACGAACCGGAAAGCTACTGACCCACCGCAAGAGGGCGCCATCTCCCGGCCACAGCTGGGTACTGCCGCATAGGCGCGGAGAATGGTGTCAGACCTCCAGATACCCAGATTTTTAGAGCAACTCGCTCCATCTAAGAAACAAACAAATCGACAAGATCAACAAAAACACTGTAGACCAAACAAAGTGTAGGCCAGAACTGACCTTGTGAGCCTCCAGTTTTGGACTTCAGATTTATAGTGTATTCTTATAGGAGAAGGTTTTAAATGTTTTGTAGTCAAATTTGTCATGTGTGTCCTACGAGCTTTTTATCTTGTGTGGGAAAGCTAGAAGTTCTTGTACATCACTCGTGTATTTCGTGACCTATTCCTTTTACACTTTGGCCATTTTACCTCGACATCTGAATCTGTTTGGGATTTATTTTCACATAAGGTATAATGTAAGGTTACAATATGTTTTCTGACGTCCCAGTAACCTCAGTTCTTCACTGTGATTTGCTAAACCAGTTACATGCTTATTTTCCTGTTTCCAGATGGACAGAGTGGCCATTCCTGTATCAGTAACACATTTTTAAGTTATTGTAGCTTGTGAATCTGTTTTATTCACAGAGACGCATTTGTTCTGTCTTATTTTATTTTAATTCTCTTGGCTATTCTCCATACATTTTTCTCCTTCAGATAAAACTTTAGAATCAGCTTGTCAAGTCCTGTTGGAATCTTGATTGGAATTGCATTGTATTCATAGGTTAATTTGGAGGAGGATTCACAGCTTTATGATACTTTGTAGCTGGATAAATGGTTTATTTCTCTATGTATTTATTTGGGTCTTTTGGTCCCTCAGAAAAGATTTCTTTTATTACCTTTGTATGTATATTTTTTGTTAGGATTTTTGTTTGGTATTTTCTAGTTATTATTTTTTTCTACATAGTTACTTTTTTCCACTAGATTTTTGAAGTTGGGTGCCATGTTGAAATTTGTGTCTTTCTTTATCTCCTTCATACTCTGACTCAGATCTGACACAATCTCAACCAAGAGTCCCTTCCTGAACCCTCAGTTAGGCTAACTGTTCAAACTCCGTGCTATTCTATCATATTCCCCACCTTGAATTGAAATTTTCTGTTTATGTTTGTTTCTCTGCCTTCTGATTCTGGCCTTTTCAACGCTTATGTATATTCACCCGGCTGATACGGTTTCCAATAAATAATAGATGCTTAAAATGCATGGCTTTTTTGGATTGTGGACTATAGTTTACATTATTGTAGTAAAAGTAAATGTATACATTTGTATTCTTTTAAAGTGTAACATCACAGTGGAGATTTTTCTCTTGCAACAGTCATGATAGTTATTTAGAATAGCTGAAAAAAATGATAGGTAGTATTTAATTAAACACTTAACTATTTACCAGGTACTATTCCTACTACTTTGTATGCATCATCTCATTTTGCTTTCACAAGGATTATATGAAGCAGGTTCCCATTTTACAGAGGCAGAAACTGAGGCTTAGAAAGTAAATTGCTCAAGGTGTGGAAAAAGTAGAGTAACCAGAAGCCATTGACTAGGTTATAACCATTTAGAGTGTTGGCAAGTTTTGGCTTATAGATTGACAGTGACCATCTCAAGCAAATCTTTAACTTTTCCTTTAAAAAATGATTTTCTTCCAAGAAGTGGAGCACGGGTATTTCATGGTACTGTGCTGCTTTTCAGAGTTTCCTCACGCGTGCCTCAGCTTCACCCAGCCTCTGTGCAGGCAATGTTCTAGTCACCACTGAATCAACAAACAACAAAGAGGACATGGTTCCTGCCCCACAGGAGCTTATAGTTGAGTTTGGATAATGAGACAAGTGAAAATGAAACCTAGAAGGGCACTGTCCCTGAATAACGCATCTGGCACAGGTTCCAGAAATGCTGCAGGAAACTTAGAATCTTGAGTAGAAAGGGCAGATTTCAGCCTCTCGTTACACAGCATTTCACATCTGCCTTGATTCACTGCCTCTGCCATGTGTCTGTATGGTTTTACTTTGACAAAGGGGTCAAAGACAGAGCAGCCCACGTTCCCCGGGGACTGAACAGTGCAGTGATCCCAGGATCTTAAATAACAAGGGACAGGCGGGAACCCTGGGACTGGGAGATTCTATAAAGCCCTTTGCACCCTGGAGAAATGGTGCCATATGACCAGCATTGGGCCAAAAAAAGAAAAAGAAAAATGTTTGGTGCTGTGGCCACTACTTGAAAATAGCAGTGTGAGCACACAGCACTGTCGGAGAGGGTGCCTTGAAGTCCAAGCACGCACCACTGCCCAGCGGTCTGAGCGTGGATTTGATCTCAGGAGTTGTCAGGACATAACTGGTCACATGTGAAAGCTTGTGTGCCCACAAGATCACTTGCTTCCTGTCCCCACTTGAATTAGCAATAACTTGCAGGCATCAGGTTGTTAATTTCTCTCTTTCCAAAGTTGTCTCTGGTCTCTCCGGTTGCCCTGCACCCTTGCTCTGAAATCGGAGTCGGGTTGTGCCCTCCTGCTCCGCGTGTGAACACAGCGAGGCTGGGAGAGACATGCGCACGAGTGTCCCGCAGAGATGGCATTCCCGATGTCAGCTCTGGCTGTCCCCTTTCCTCTGAGCCCAATTTTAGTACTTTAGAGCATTTCTAGAGTCATGGAAACTTCGAGAGATTTTGTCCTCTATGGATAAGTAGATGGTGTGAAATAAATAAAGCGATGTGTCTGTTCACCTCCCACACCAATATAATTTTGGCCAACAGTTTAAATTGCTCTTGTGCGTGAGTTTCTCAGAGAGAGTAGGGAGTAGGTAGCAACAGGGACTCCTTCTGTTTCTTGACCTTCCCTCTCGGCTTCCTGGTCCCCAGGGAGGCTGATACGTGGGGAAGCAGCAGACGGGGAAAGAGGAGACAGAGGTCTCTGATGCCCCAC